AAGCTTTTAAACAGAGGCTGGATGGCCATCTGTCGGGGTGCTTTGAATGCAATCTTCCTGCTTCTTGGCAGCGGGTTGGACTGGATGGCCCATGAGGTCTCTTCCAACTCTTTGATTTTTTGCTTCTTTGATATATGAAACATAGGGCATAGAACCTTGATTAAATGTACACACRATRTGAKATGGGAAGGGTCGCTGTTGTTGTTAGTGTCTGTTCTGGTATGGCTTCCCTACCTTTCGTTTTACAGTGGTGGCAGCGGTGGGATAGCTTGACCACCCTGCCCAAGCTGACCTCACACGCGTTAAAATCTTTCCTTTATGTTAGAGCTGTACTCGGGGTTCCAACTTTATTTCTTRGTKTTAAATGTTTGCTTGTACTCCTAGGCGTGGGATTCTGCAGCAGGGTGGCTTCCTGTTAAAGTCTGCAGTTATAGGGCAGGCCACCTGTCCATCATCATTATGTTCTCTAGTTCTGCCCCCTTTTGGGTTTAGAGTAAGGAAGAGAGCCATTTTCAGTCAGTTTCAGCAAGGATAGCTAATGTACAGGATGTGTCCAGGTTCTCCTGTGCAAAAGCTTCAATCCTTAAGACTTCCCGGGTGAGAACAGTCTTAAGAGCATCCAAAGATTCCCAAAGGTTCCCAGGGAAACAGCCTTACAGCCCTGAGGAATTTCGGAGGGAATAACAGCTTTAAACATCAAGAACTCCAGCTAAGCGAGAACAGTCCTACTGGTAGGTCCACTCTGTTTTGAGATGCAGTTCAGCCCGGTAGTGGATCCCACATCAGGTTTAGGTTCACAGTCAGCCTGGGAGGAGCTAGAAAGGGATTTTCCTTTAAAGTAAAGCAAAGAAACAGTTAGAAGTCACCAATTGCTTAAAGTCTGGAAGCATTTGTTTAACCTTTGAAGACAAGAGAAGTTTCTGTTTGATTGTTCATCAATAAAAGACTTTGTTATATTTCTCAAGCCCTCTAAAGACTGTTTATGGGTGAAGAAATCTCTAAGAGCTTCTCTTCAGGGGCCCTGGCTTCCCGTTGGGCTCAGGTTGCACATCCTTTTTTTAAAGCACTTCATTTCAAGTCCAGCACGCGACAGAACAGTGTCTTTGCAAATTGACCAAGACTTGACCCCTATTATTCAGCCTTAAGTCCTTGTCCTTAGCAAAACTATAAGTTACTATCTCTTATGGGGGGGGGGTCATGTTCGACTTCAGGGGTGGCATTGAACCATTCCCCCGAGGGAAAGCCCAAAGTTGTGGGAGAAGGTGGGGACTGAAACTCAGGAGGAAGCAAGTTTTTAAAATCTGCTTCCTCCTGGGTTTTAGTTAGGTGGAAGGGCTCTAAACTACAAACTTC